ACGTCTTGACACATCGTGTATGCACCGTTAAATTGCGTAAAGTAATATATTCGATCGATATATTACGTACAGTGACGTATTTGAGAATAAAAAAGAGTATAGTTTTTTGTGATTTTTTCAAATTCTAGAAAAATTTTAAGAATATGATAATATAAATTGTGTATTTTTGTGATTTTTCATTAAAAAAATAGGTGGGGTGGGGGTGGGGGTGAGGGGTGGGGTGATTGTTAGGTAGTTGGTTGGTGATGGAGGACAAAGAATTGTAAAGGGACATGAAGGGTGCTGAGGTGTCAGCATTAAGACCGTTCATGCACTGCGGATTTGCTACTCTCTTTCCCAACATTCTCACGTGCTCTTTTCACTTTTTACAATTTCTTCTCCTATTTTCTCTAATTATTTTTAATATTCACTTTATTTATACTCCTTAAAAACTTTTACCAATATAATTTACGTAAACTATGATAGTAATTTTCTACATATTTTATTTATTTATTTATGTCAGAAAGGTGGATCTTCTACAAAAATAAATATATGGTAGACAAAAGTGGCAGGGCAGTAGCATGGACTTAAATCGTTTAATTTGTTAAATATTCGATTTGACTGGAGTGGGACACGATAAATACGTAGGAAGACAAATTCAATTATTAAAATCCGACTAAAATAATAATTCAAGTGCTCAATTTTCAAACTTTTTTTTTTCTTTTTAATTTTTTTTCATACTTTATTTGTTTAATATAGTGTTTTTGCATGTTGACCTTAATTTGTGTTCTTTCTTGATCAATTGTAAGAGCAGTTTTAATGTATCACCTTTGCTTAAAATTTGAAGGGGATTCTTGGCGTATCTGATAAAATCATGTTATATGATTGGGAGGTTATGAGTTTGAATTATAAGACTAATCATTTAAATTAATGCAGAGTACATTTGCAATGTCGATACAAATATAAGATAATTAAATTAATGCAGAGTACACCCGATTATTCTTTCCATGGACATAATTTTTTCATAGCTCAATTGGACAATAAAATTTAATTATCTTATATTTGTATCGACATTGCAAAATTCATTATAAAATAATATAAAATAGTTTGATCTTTTTTCATTGCAAAGCCATGGAAACATATCTCATTTATTATGGTGAACCAAATCTTATGTTTTTACTAATCATCCTGAAAATTCTAACATTCTTTACTCTTTATCTCAATCAAATCTTGCTCAAGACATTTTTTTCTGTATCGAAAATCAATCAAAAACAATTTCTTTTATCTCGTAAAAATAACAATAAAATATTCATATATTTCAAAATATAAGATTTTCATACATTTCAAATTTTACATGAGATCAGACTCTATATATATTGTTGAACTATTTTCAATTGGGTTAGAGTTAAATATTGAGATTCTATTACATAAATATCAAGTTTGAATACTTTTCAAAAAAAAGAAAAGTGAAAGGTTTTAGATGCTTCATAAAGTTGACTTTTTTATTTTACAAATCTTGATAGAGCTCAAAAATTAATTTTGGAATTTGTTAGGAATATATGGCATATATATAGCTACTCTCATGCACGAGGGAACAGTCCTTTAAAAATTTAACCTATTAAATTATAGGTTAAACCCCTCCATGCACAAGATTCGATTTTCTGCCTTTATCAAATATAATTAGTGAAATACTAAATAATAATGCATAAAACCTTTTTTGGGTAAGCATCCTATGACACATGATTCTTCTTATTTTTTCTTAATATAAAGGGAAAAAAGTATGAAAAATATTTTAACTTCGGTTGAAATTATTGTTACGATATTAAACTTTGAAAATGACACTTTACCCCATGTACTATTTAATAGTGTATTTTAAAGGTATATATATACCTACGTGAACATCATAAATATTTCATCATTTTAAATAGTAATGTGTCCATGGACACATATATACTTTTAAAATACGCTATTAAATAATGCAGGGGTAAAAGGTCCTCTATAATGTTCGGTATCATAACAACAATTTCGACCAAAGTTAAAATATTTTTCAGACTTTTTTCCCTAATATAAAACAAAGGTTCTTAAATTACAAAAGGAGTCATTTCATAGAGGAGTAGTATAGGATCGTCAATTTAGATTTAGATCAAATTTAAATTGGCATATTATAGAGCTATTTTTTAGAAGCAATATTTTCAATAGAATTTCTTTTTCTTACTTTTTAAAAATTTAAATTCGAAACAACTAGTTGAAAACACTCAACTTATATCTATTAACATAATTAATAGTTAGTAAAGGTTACAACAACCTAACTCGAATACAATTAATTAATATTAATCATCACCGCCCTATATTGATATTGCACATATTTGTGTTAGTTATAAGACTTTTCAAAATCGATAATTTAAATATATCATATCATAATATTTAAATAATTCTAATTTTTTAATCTAAGATTAAATGATAAATTTAAAAATTGGAGTATAATATTATTAATCTTTCCACTCTTTCTAATATACTCTATATTTAAATGTCTGATTCATCAATACCAAGATTAATAATTGAAGATTTTTTTGAAACTTTATAATATTTATTCTTTTAAAAATAATTAAATTAAGGATAAAATATGAAATTAATTTTTTGTTAGTTCTGTAAATTGGTAGTAATTTGGATATTTGGAGTAACGAGAATAAGTAATACTCCATGGTGGAAGAGTACTAAAATATATAAATATAATATACTTTTGTAACAATTTATATAAAATATACTTTCATTTTTGGTTGGTCAATAGAAATAACATGTTTTCTAATTATATAATGATATTACCAACATATTACCTATTTTGATCCCTACTTATTTTCATAATAAGTCCAGCAAGATATTATTTTTTATTTAAAAGTTTATTTTAAGAATAAAATTAGACTATTACAAAATCTTCTCATATTATTAAATTTATATTAGTAAAATCACATCACATGAATTAAAATTAAAGAAATAGTTTCTTAGATTTGATATATTAAAAACTGTAGACTTTTTCCCATCCCAAATCTCAGTAAACAAAATATATTATACTGACTATTTTTAATATGGAAAATGACTAAATGTTTGACCAAAAATTATTCAAAAGAATAGACATGTCTGAACTTTAAAGTGTAAATAAGAGAAAAATATGTACCAAATGAGGAATAAATCAAGTACACAAATAATAAAAAATCAAATCTAAAAAAGGAAAAACAATAATAATAAAGTAAATAAATTCCAGTCCTAAGTAAAGGAAAAAAGGAAAAAAAATAAATAAAAACCCATAGAAAATTATGACCAAACTATTTTAAAAAAAACTTTTTTTTATTTTTAAAACTCAAACAAATCTATTTTTTTCCGTAATTTTATCGTATATCATAGTTTTACATAATTTTCAAATATATAAATCTTCATCCCAATTATTTTTGAAGATTTCATACCTAATTTTACGGTCAACTTATACTATTTGACTCTCAAAATTCAAATCGTGTCGATCGAAAATAAATTTATTTCTGACCATAATTTTGTCATATATTTTTAACATAATTTCCAAATATATAAATCTTCATACCAATTATTTTTGAAGATTTCATACCTAATTTTATGATCAACTTAAATTATTTGACTCTCAAAATTCAAATCGTGTCTATCCGAAAAAAATTAAAAGGTTGTATTACTTTAAATTTAAGGCGATACCTTGGGAACCAAGTACTTGTCACTTGTCAGTGGCATCCTCGTAATTATCAAACCTTAATAGACCCAATTACGTCTAATTAAAATATAGCTGTAATCCTTTTAATTTAATGAAGAAACCGCCTTTCCGTATTCCCAGAATTACTTCCCTACCCCACTACATAAACTGTTTTTTCTAATTCACTCTCTATCCCTCTACGTGAACTACACGCGCTGTTAATTAACCAAATAATGACAAAATTAATTATTTGTTTGACCAGATTTTGAATAAATAAATCTTAACCCCTTAAACTTATCAATAAACTCTATTTCAACATATGAACACCTCAATTTTTACTAACATGTTTCATGATATATTTGATTAGTTTTTTTTTTTTTAAATGAGATACATAAAATATCGTTTTCTTTAATTATACATATTCATCTCAATGAGTCATAAAATTTCAAATATTTTCTACTAGAGATTGATGTATATTATTACACGAGATGACATAAAATGTGGTTAATTTAACATTCACATGAAACAGATTAAAAATAAAATGAGGTCGTATAAATCACGTTATAAAATCTCAATCATTTTTACTTGTGATAAATATATATAATTTAAGAAAATAACTTATTTTTTATAATTAACTTAACTATTTAATAAATGAATAAAAAATACATACATTTTTTCACTCCATAATTTGAATTGAAAGTAAAATTTAACTAGAACTCTTCTTAAGAAGTTTAAGTGTTCAATCAAAACAATACGTAGTTCCAGTATCTAAATAAAACATATCAACAAATTCAAAGGACTAATCATATATTACATTACGCGTATATTAAAAACTTGGTCAAACAAACAATAAATAACATCGTGAGAGTGCATAACACTCCACCTCCTCGCGCGTGAAGTATACAAGTCTGCTTACAATAAAACATGTCATGCATAAGATAATCATCATGTATGCATGACATGTATGACATACATGACAGCTCATAACACATTCATCACTTCCCATAAATCTCATATATAATACTCATTAATTACATGACCAAAATTAACTTTTTCACACATTTTTCACACACTAAAAACACACAGTCCTTTTTATTTTCACTCAATATATAATATTCATCTCCCTTTAATGCTTTTTTTGACCACTTGGGAAAAAGTGAAGTGAGAACAGCAGCAGTGTAACAGAGTAGAGAAAAAAACAGAGTGAAAAGGACCATAAAAAACAGGTACTATTTGTTTAATTTAATGCATAAAAAATGGTTTTTTTATAATGGGGTTTTGTTGAGATTTGTGAAAAATGTTTTTTTTTTTTGTGGACTTGGTAAATTTTGGTGTTTTTTGTTGTTGTCTATATACGTGAAATTTACACAGAGTGAGAGTACAGAGGGGGCTAAAGGGTTACGAAATTTACCTTTTGTCAGATTCTGGGGAGGAGAAATCTTGGCCATAGATTCCTAATCTGTGTATTTTTTTTGGGTTGTTGTGTTTTTTGGGGATAAATAGGAGTATCTGATCCGATTTTTTGTTTCTCTTTTGGTTGCTTTTTTGGTTGAGAAGAACAGAAGGAGGAAGGAGGAAGGAAGAAGAAAGGGGTTGTGATATATGTCGGCAAATTTCTGTTTGGCTGTGATTGGAGCTCCATTGAAGCTCTGGGTATCTGTTTCTTCAGTGATATTTGGTCTTTGCATGCAACAAATCCTCTGCTGTGATCATCAGCAGCAGGGTACTACTCTGTTTTTCACGACTGTTTCGATGCGTTTGAGGCCCAAAAGGTACTGTTTTCTACTTTCCCCTTAAACCCCTTTTTGAGGGTTTAGAAAAAAAACTTGTTTTTTTTCGGTTAGTTTTTGTGTGTTTTTGGGTGATTTTGATGCTGATCTGTAATGGGTTTTTGCTGATTTTTGATTTGCAGGACTTGTTCTGGTGTTGTTTGCTTTGGTGGATTTCATATAAACCGATTTTTACATCCTATTTTGCTCTTGAGACGGCCGATTACTTGATTTTTTTGCTGAGTTTTTCAAATTAAATTCAAATTTCTTTCTGTTTCCTTTTGATAAACCAATTTTCTGGGCACATTTTGAGGGGTTTTGAAGATTTGAAGAAATCATGAAAATGTTTGAGTCTCAGAGACAATTTCAGAAATCGAAGGTTAGGGAAGAATCAGCCCGACCCATGAGGAAAATCCGGATCGTTTGTGACGACCCGGAAGCTACTGATTCTTCTGATGATGAAGGGGTTGATGTTTCGAAACCCAAACGATTTGTTAGGGAGATTTATCTTCCTGCTGTTAACTCTTTTACCCTGAAAAAAGTACCTGAAACTGAAAGTTCTTGTCAAGATAGCAACAATGGTGACAAAAAGAGTAGAGGAGGGGTTATAGCTAAAACCCCTAAAACCCCGAGTTGCCCGAGGCCCTCGTCTTCGAAATACCGAGGTGTTCGTCAGCGTAAATGGGGAAAATGGGCTGCTGAAATTCGGGATCCTTTTAAATCTAGGAGGGTCTGGCTTGGTACTTATAGTACTGCTGAAGAAGCTTCTCATGCTTATGAAATGAAAAGGCTTGAATTCGAAGCGATGGCTAAGAGTAATTCGAATACTGATGTGTCTGAGAAGAGTTCGAATAACGAAAGTAACAACAAGAATCGTCGAAAGGTCATCAATGTTGGTTGTGTATCTGAAGATGACTCTGCTCAGAGTTTGGTGTCACATACTTCACACACATCTCCAGCATCAGTTTTTGAAATGGAGTCATTGACTTCTGGTTCTGCTGCAGTGTCTGAGGTTAACAACAATGACAAACTTGTTGAGCAACTACTGGATGATGATAAGCTGGGATTGATGGAGGATAGTTTATCGCTCGCTGACATTGGTGCACGAATGGATTTCGATACGGAGATGGACATGTTCTTTGCTGGGAATGATAATTTTTGCCAGAATCTTGATGACTTTGCTGTCAATGATTTTGAGGATCTTCCGATATGTGGACTTGATGGGCAGTTGCCTGATGATTTACCTGATTACGATTTCGACTTTGATTTCGATGGATACAATGATGCTTGTGCTTGGATGGATGATGCAGCAACTGCTCCACTGATGAATGGAACAACAACAACACCCCTCAATATTGCATTATGCCCATAAGTTTTGCAGCTATAGGAGTTTCAATATTTATTAGTACTCTATTAGTTTATTTATTAGTAATCCATAGAGAGTTTTAATGTCTCAAGAATCATTAAACTTAGCTTCTCGAGACCGCGGTCCTTCGCTTTTCAAGTTAGTTTTGAGTAGTCTTTACATTATGTTTTAAGAGAGTTTTGAGACTTTGAGTTTTGAGGAATGTGTTCTTGTCTTTGAAGAAGATTGAGTCAATAGTCCCTTTGGGTTTTTCCTGTGCTGCTAGAGCCGTCCAAAGGCCTATTGAATCTCGATTTTCGGTTTAGTCTCAGACTGTTTACTGTTTGTGATGAGCTATGTTATGAAACTTATATATGATATTTGGCTCTTCATTTTACCTATTGATTATGATTTTGTATTAGTTTGTGATATTGACATTGTTTGTTGATTGCTAAGTTGACATATACATATCTATAGTTTGGTATTGAAAGTTGCAACTCCTATTCTGTAATCACTTGCTCTTTAGTGTTCACCAATGTTTGGATTCGTGCCTCGGTCCAGACCCTTCAATGGTCAAGGGTGAAGGGATTTCAACCATCTTATCATATATCGACAGTGTGTTTTGATGGTATGTTTTGATGATAAGTCTCTCATTGGATGTGTTTGGGCCAATATTTTCTTGATTGGATGTATAGACTGTAGTGTAACCTTTTTGGTTGCTTTGCCAAGCAAATGATATCAAGAACTAAAGGTAGATGAGAGATGTTATCTATTTGGGCATGCTTTTGGACTTTGTTATAAGCTGAGAAATACCAGCTGTATTCCAATCTAAAAACTATATTATATAAACCAAAATGTCAATTGGTCTTGCAAATGCTACTGTTCTTCTTTAATTTTAGTTGGACACATTGGGTGTGATTTGGTTGGTAGGAAGTGTGGAAGTGAGATTATTGTGTTTGTTGACCTTTGGGTCATATAGATTGTTTCTCCGTAAGTGTACATTATCAAGATTGGTATAAATCAACTTGTTTGAACTTTTTTTTCCGATGATGGTAGTGTTTGAGTCAGCTTAGTACGTATTTTAACCGTGTAAGCATATACACGCTATCAATACAAGTATCACGCGACTCTGCACTCTCATGAAAAGACAAATAAGAAGAAATCACCTCTTTCGCACTCTCATGAAAAGACAAATAAGAAGAAATCACCACTTTCGATAGTATTTAATCATGAATTTTTTTTTATCAACTTTATTGACCACGAGATCGATGCTCGAGTTATTGAATGTTTTTGTTTGATTAGTGTAGGGAAGAAGAGTGAGGGCACTTCATCCTAGTAGGGCCACACATATCACGGGTCAAATTGAGAAATAATAGACCATGATTTGTTCATAACCATGAATAAAAAAAGGTTTAGAATGTGCTTTCATTTGTTAACAACTAATTTTTTTGTAGGCCGTGAACTAGCGATCAGTGAAGTGAGTAAAGGTCGTAGAAGACTTAAGTTCATATATCTCAATAAAGATAAAGTACTAGTTTGATCTTTCTCATTCACCAAAACTCTCTAAGTCCCTCGATATTTGTATTGTCTTAACATATTCAGTATATTATCATATGTTGTGTCTTATTGCATCACATGCAAGCATACAACGACATTCATGGTTCCACCTCATGATTTCAATATATCATATTCGAGATTAGAGTGAACTTGTAGAATATCGATTAATTAATTAAAACTAAAAATAAAATTACTATTAAATCTTATTTTAAGTATTTGATAAATATTTAGACATTGACACAATAAGATTATTTCCTACTTGGTGGTTTACTTAGTCATCTCAAAGATTATTTGATGAAAGAAAAGTATAATAGAACTTGGTGGAACATAATATATAGTTTATAACGTAACATCTGTTGACGACATTTTTCCATGTTGCTTATAATAAATTTTATTGATTGCTTAGATTTCTCGCAATTCCTAATTTATGAACAATTCATCCACACAATTAGTATGTCCATTATTTTATTTAAAAGGTCTTAGTGGGTCAACATTTTTAGTGGACTCACTAGTCACTATACCAAAGTTTATGAGTTCTATTTTTATACAAATTTATGTTCCGTATCTAAATTTATGGATTCAATTGAATACATAGCTATAATATTGCATACGCTTATGTTAAGAATTTGCATCGTCTTCAACAATCCCACATGCTCATGTTAGATATCTGAACCGTTGGTAATATAAGTTGGGAGTTTAATAAAGGGGAAATAATGAGTTCAAAGTAGGGGCAAAATAATAAATTTGCATATTATATATTGTATGTTTTATCATCGCTTTTTTTTTTATTACTATTTTGATTTATTATACTTGAGTTTGAGTAGATACTTCTTCGAAAGTTATTTCACTTTTACGAAATAAGAATAAGGACCACATACATTTTATTTTCTTAAAAATTTACTAAATATATTATTATTATTATATGTTGTAGATACTATACATTCCCTTTTTGTATGATGAATTATATAGTTACCAAAAATATATGCATTAAATTAAAAGTTTTATTTTTAGTAAATCTAGTAGTACAATCTCTATTATTTAAACTATACATTTTGTCTGCCAGTAAAACGATCTCAAATTGGTAGTACTAGGAGAACTGTCATAATTAGTCTTGCAAGTTGTAATTGTCTTTAAAAAATTATGCCAGGTGTGACATATTTGTATACATAAATATAAAAATTGCCACAAATAATGTTTGCGTGTAATATAAAAAATTATTAATAGTTGAATCTATAATCAGTAGTGGCACCTACCTAATTTTGGCTAGGTCTATTTTTCCTTTTCATTTTTCACTTTACTTTTGGAAATGATACCTATTCTGGTTTCCTACTCATTGTCTGGTATCTACTCGTTCAATTAATTCAAATTCATATTAAGGACAAAACACTTTTTATATAAAACTACTCTATGTTCAGGGCTCGAATGAAATGAAACATATGCCTACATATTAGTCTTTGTTTTATTTTTATGCAACTAGAAATTTAAGGTTATAACTTATAAGCAACAGATTTAGATAAACTCAATATTAGAACGGAAATTAATTATACAAGTTTAGTGCTAAGAATTTGAAAGAATAAATCAATGGATTCAAATTATAATTCCGATTCTGTCTGCTCTAATTAAGATTTGTGAGATTTATTTTAGTGGAAGATACATTATTCATCCCCTAATATGAGGGAGGGAGATGTAAAAAGAAATAACATTAGAATTTTCCATTTATTATGATGTAATATACTAAGATAGTCAAAATAATTAAATTAGTATCTATGCATGATGATCATGACAAAGATTCCATATATTATGTGTAGTTTTAGCAATAAATCATGTCATATATATTTTATGCCATTTCTGCAAATTTTAGAATTTTGCTTATTTCTTTTATTTCCTTTTTTTCCCCCTTTTTGATCGTCAAAGAAAGTTGAATAGTGTAGCCATACAATTGTCTCCAATCACCAAAGAATAGGGCAGAAAATTTTTGTCCACATAATTTTTATATTAAATTAATTAATACAAATATTTAATTTGTATGCACATATAATTAAGAAATATATATTCTTACCTTAAATTTTAATTTCTAAGATTAGCTTATATTGCTAGGACAAAATATGCCTAGTCCACTGGAACATATGTGAGCCTCCAATTCATTCACGGCATTTTAATATGATGTATAACATTATTGTATTTTTCTCATTTTTTTTAGAATATTGACCGAAGACACTTAAAGATTCCTCTTTTAGGAATCACTCGTGTATCGACCCACACTTCCACATCTGCATCATGTATTGCATCACTAAACTTGCACTTCAAGCACTATTTATAGTCTTGCTCAACCTGAAACCTTTAGACTCTACCTCCAATCCAAAAGCCAACCTAAATTAACCTGCCTTCGTATCTTGTCACTCAATACTATACTATCATTTGTAAATAACTTACACCATGATACATCCTTAGAATCACATGCGTATTCAGGATTTTGAGATGATGATGCACTATTATAAGAAGGTTGATCTATGATATATATTAGATCGGTTTGACGTTTAGATTTTTCCTACTAAAATTATTCAAATTTTAAAATTATAGGTCTAAAATGAATTCTAATATATATATATGTGTGTGTGTGTGTGTGTGTGTGTTGAATTAATTAAAATGTAACAAATGCTACCAATTACCACTTAGAGAAGTTTATCTAATTTTAGAAAGAAAAATAAAATAAGATAAAATAAAATTCAAATTTCTAACCTCCCGGAGAGAGGTGCACCCAGTCATAATCGCATTATGTGATACTCCGAGTGTGGGTTCACACATCTATATTTCAATATATTTTTAAAATATAACACTACTATATATGATCTCGGAAGGGGACCATGGGCTCACGTGAACCCGGTGACCCCCCCTTAGATACACCTCTGCTTAGAATATATCGTCAGTAGCAAAGTTAGATATTTTGCTAAGATTATTCAAAATGTTAGTTTATATCTCTCAAATATTGTTTTTGACCTATATGCAAAGTTTAATATTCTATATGTACAACGTTTTTCGATGAAAAATGTTCGAGTGACCACCTTTGAGTCTATGTAGCTACACCCCTAGTATCGTGTCAAGGGGACACATTTTTTTTAAAAGAAAATAATTGTTGGAATTCTTTTTCCTTCTTTATTTTCTCTTTTTCCCTTTGAAATATGGCCTGCTGGGAATTGAAAAGTGGCCTCATAGAGACAGATAGTAGTTTTTAGGACAATCAAATTGGGTCCATTCATTATGATTTTGACCCGTTCCATTTTTTGCCTTATAGCAAAAGAAGAAGGGAATAGCATTTTTAATCCTTTAATTATCGTTAAATTCTGATTTGGTCCATAAAATATATGACTTAAAATATTAAAACTTTTTATCAACAAAATATGTGTTTTTAGTTTCTTTACGTAGAAAACATGTTAATTTTAGATTATTTTTAAAATTATGTCATCCTCAAATATTACATATTTGTCATTAAATAGAATTATGATTGGTAATGCGATCAATTTGTGAAGAGTCACCAACATAAATATTAATTGTAAATAACTTTAATATAAAAGACTTAAAGTGCTTAATTAGATATTACAAGAAATAAAACTATAATTTATTAGAAAATGAGGGATCAAAATTGCTATTTGTACCCAAAGAAAAATACAAAAAGAACCTAGTTTTTAAAAAATGAAAGAAATAAGAATGTGGATTAGTTAGAGCCAAGTATTAATAAAACACATGGATTAATTAGATGTCCCATCTCAAAATATAAAAATGAAGAAAAATAATACTTTAAACA